CACGGTAAAACGAGGATTAATACAAGGTCTTACAGATAGAATACGTAGACTTACAACAACACCAGAGGACCAGCGTAAAGAAATAAATGTCCTATTCAAAATGTTACTCGACAACAACTACCTAAAAGAATTTATAAAAGATAATATAAAAAAGAGGGTAAAACGGGCAAGATGGAAGAATGCAAAAAAAACAGTCACAATACCATATAAAAATGGTACATCAGAGGCAACTCGAAGAAACCTCAAGAATATGGGGATTCGTACGACGTTTAAACCGACGAATCTAATCAAAAATAAAATAAATCAACTGAAAGATCCAATAAAAATGATGGATAAAAACAACTTGATTTACAAAATATCTTGTGATGACTGACTGTCCGACTAAATATGTGGGGCAAACGTCCAGATCACTCAAAATAAGAGCGAATGAACATAAGCGCCTGCCTAACTAAAGGTCAACCGCAGCAGGAACACAAGCCTACAAAAATCTTGAAAAAAATTCATCGATAGCTGCACATGCATGGGACAAAAACCACAATATCGATTGGGACAATGTGTGTATTCTAAAAACTAACATGAGCAAATGGAAAGAAAGACTTATAACAGAATCGATATTCATTGGGGTCATACCGGATACATGTAACAAGGGTGACTAACTCAGTACAACTATCAACAACTTGGAATATAATTCTGGATACAAAAACATGAATGAACGGGGAATATAACTCAAATACAAAAAAAATATGAATGAGCAAAAATAATGAACTATGTATATCTGAGTACAAATCATAAAAGGTGTGAATCAAACAATTCCAACAGTTGGTGTGTGAACACGGGCGGTAATTTTGCTCGAAATATTACCAATAACAAAACTTATCATTGTGTGTAAACTATTAAAATATAATTATACTTTATTTAATAATAATAATAATAATAATGAATTTGTGAATTACACAGTAAATAGTCACACGCATGCTAAATGATGATGAAAAGAGGCTTTGTGATTTGAATTCATGTGACATGATTATGTGCATGTGTTTAGCTAATCACACAGTCAAGTAGTGTAGGCCAATTAGATAGAAAGAACATCAATACACACACACGCACACCAACACTAATAGATGTGTATATAAACAAGAGTAATTCTATACTGGTTTGATTAAAAATGACATGAATTGAAGAATGAAAGAAACAGGCGAACATGGTGGTGGTGTATACGCCTGAGTAAATTTTATTTCCAAAATAATAGTAACAACCATAACTTTATTCTCAAAAAGGCGATAAGACATATTTGCAGAATTTTTTTCTTAGCAATGTTCTATTACTCCTTGTGTGTGTGTTTGTGGAATCTTCCAGCAAATCAATAATGATAATAATAATTGGCAATACGCAATATGCACTGGGGTTCGAACCCAGGACCTTCCGGTTACAAGGCAAGCTAGCTCGTAGACCATTAAGCCACTGGGACCCGATCCAATGGTCAGCCAGTGCATGAATTCTAACTTCTACCAATTCGTGATCTAGCGCGACCCTCGACCGACCAATGTCGTCGGTGGATGAAACAGCAGCTGTCCAGTACACCCTGGTTGCTGGTTTTCAATGCTTCTCTAACTGATATCAATCCGTGATCAACTCGTAAAAAACAAAAGTAACCCTTACAAACCAAACTATAGAAAAATAATAATAATTATTATTATCGGTAATCATATATCACATGGAGCAATATTTTAAGTTCATAGGTGTCCGAATTATTCTATCTCTTGTATTGGGTGGTATTATTGAGGTTGGGTGTTCAGTAAGTTTTCGGTTGAGAAAGGGGAAGTTAATCGATAAGATTGTGAAGTTATATCGATTGATTACAGGATTTCATCATGAGCTGACATTGGCTAGAGAACCATTGGAAAACCATTCAGGGAGTTCGGGACTCTTCATCAGTACTCACCCACACCACGGGGTTCAAAACCAGGACTTTCTGGTTACACAGCGAGCTTGTAGGCCATCAAGCCACTGGGGCTCGATACAATGGCTAGTGCATGAGTTCTAACTTCTGCCAATTCCACTACATAGCGCAACCGTTAGTCAATGTCTTCGGCGAGTATTTTTATCCTCACGACCGACCTGCTGCACTCTACTGGTCACGACTTCCCACTAGAACCCCAGGTAACTACCTAGCTGAATAGGGCCAGTCGCCAGTGAGCATCTCATTGATATTCCAGTTTGGGTTTTTTGTAGGGATTTGATTGATTGGTTACAGGATTTCACCATCAGCTGACATCGGTTAAAGAACCATTGGGAAACCAATCAGGGAGTACTGGACAGCTGGTTCTAACCAATGTCAGCTCATCATGATGAAATCCTGTAACCAATCAATCAAAATCCAACAAACCAATACTTGTATATCGATTGAGATAGCTAGGATATGTGTTACACATACTGAGCTACTGCTGCTTTTCTCGAGATGGGTAATGACTTTAGCTAACATTGGATGGATGGATATCAGGTTGGAAAAGAGAGAAAGCTAGTGGTGGTGGTGGTCATAACAAACAAAACATGGCTTCATCACTCAATGAAATCCAAAACAGTCAGTTTAAACCAACTAGCCAGCCGGTCATGTCTGATGAGGGTCCTCCGGATGATAGGAACCAATGGCGACTGGTGACAATTAGTGAAATGGCCAAAAAATCGTTCTCGAGAATGGCTCAATAACATTGACGTTTTATGATTTTATCGTATGCAATACAGCTATGAATCAATCAATATTCGAAGTGCAAGAGTTTATGTTGTTACCCAGTTAGTTAGTGAGTTAGCTGTCCAGATTGCAGGTAGTAGAATGGGGGCGGGTCGAAGCGGAATGGGGATGAGGTAGGTGGGCGTGAATATCAAGTTGAGATATAAGGCTTTTATTCAATATTACACACCATTTTTGATTATACCTTATCGTTATCTCGTATTGTCTTCAATAACACAAACACAAGGGACGTCTATTGATGAATACTTTTCAAACTATTACTATATTTGTTTATTGATTTATTTATTGATTTGTTTGTTTATTGAATCGTTTGGCTGTTTGTTTGTTTGTTTGTTTGTATAAGACTATGGTTGTTGTGATTTTCTCTCTCTCGATAAATTCTTCGCCTCAAAATCAAAGCATACGTGTGTGTATAATATAATCGATATATTCTATAATCAATAATACCAATAATAACAGTAATAATCAAACCCCCTACCATCCATCCATTCAGTGACACCCTTATAATCTAGAGAGAAAAAGATTTTTCGTTACAAAGTGATTTCAGAGTAATTTATATCTAAAATTTTATAGACCTTTTCAAGCATTGATTTGACTGAATAGAGCATTCTACATTGATGTATATACTAGCTGATGTAGGATTCAGTTGGAGGAAGGGTCTAGGAGTAGTCTCGATCCATGAAGTCTCTTTGACAGGTCTAAGGTTTAAGCCGCTTTTCCCCTCCGAGCCATGTAGAGAGAGGTGTGTGTATGTGTAGACGACTGCCTGGTTGTGAGGTCGTCGAGGTGCAAAGAACCAATGGCAGTTGGAAACTGTTAGTGAGATATGACTGCTCTTCCATATTCATTGAACCGTCATGTTACTATTCTAGGAGGGGAAACCAATCGATGAGGCTGTGAAGTTACATCGACTGAGATGGTTAGGACATGTGTTACGTATGCCTGGTCATCGTCTTCCTCGACAATGCGCAATGTTAGCTGACTGACATAGGATTGATCAGGTTGGAAAAGAGCTATCCAGTTGTGGTCAAACCAAAATATAGCTTCATCAGTCAGTGAAATCCACAACAGTTAGTGTAAGCCAGCCAGCCAGTCATGTAGGAAGGTGTAAACTTCCTGACTGGCTGGTTGGGGTCCTCGAGACGGTAAACACCAATGAAGGCTGGAGACAATTGGTGATATGGCTCAAACTCATCGTTCTCGATGATGGCGCAGATGCATCCACTCCTTGTGACTTATAATACCCAATGAAACCATATTGTTCTTCCATATTACTATTCTTTTTGCCCATTGTCGAGGAAGGCGATGACTAGGCATACGTAACACATGTCCTAACCATCTCAGTCGATGTAACTTCACAGCCTCGTCGATTGATTTCCCCTCCCACCTACCTAGCACTCGACGCCTAACTTCAATATTCCTCACCCTATTATTCTACCACCTAACACGGGAGATAGAACGCAGGTACCTATGATCAAACACAGCTAGCTGGCCTTTCATGTCTTCCACTCTCAATGGTCAGGTCTCAGTCACAACCATAAAGGAGGACGGAGCGCTGAGCAGTACACACCCCCTTTGGTCGACAGTCGGATATCACGTCTGTGCTAGTGATGGCATAAACTGGTATATGCGGAACGAGTACCCATATTGAAATTGGATCGTTCAGGAGGGACTTTCCTAACAATTATTGTGTTAGGTAAATTGATGGATGGAATCCAGGACAACGTGCGTTACGTCCCATTTGGGATTCGTCAACTAGATCTACCTTCATTATCTAGTAAGTCAGTGATAGCATTTCCACTGGGGCTCGAACCTAGTGCCAATAGTTTCAAATGCCAAGGCGTTGTCCACTAAACCATTTGGGCCACGAGAGCCACCTCTTGCGCAACAGGTATTAGTAAATACTTTATTCAAGTACTACCTATAGGCACTGGACTCAAACCTCAGTGGAAATGCCATCACTGACTCATTGGGGAATGTAGGTACATCCAACGGGCTGACGAGTCCTACACATGACGAAATGAGCGTTGTCCTGGATTCCATCGACTAATTTACCTCAAGTTAAATAATCAGACATTGTTGAAGCATCTTCACAAAGAGCCGACATGTCACGACAGAGGCCGAAAACTTCGGTTCTTATCAATCAACAGGGAAGTTCAAATTGAATTAAATAAATCATTCCGTTACACATAATCATATGATCAACATCTTTCACCTCTTTTTGTTTTCTGCATATATATTTACATTTTAGGTTTTAGCAATTCAACTGGCTTGTTTCAATGAAATCATTAATATTGGCTATTTAGTTTATCGATCACACGATCTACCATGGTTTCGACCATTATCATGGTATTTTCTGTTCACATCGAATTATTATTTATTCGGTGAAAGTTTGATTGCACGATTTCGGTTACTTTTGGCGAAAGAAGTAAGTGTTTTCTTCCGGTTGTCATTATTATTATTATTATTATTATTATTATGGAGATGTCGTAATTATATTTACCCGTTTCATTTGTTCTCTTTATTATAAAAATGATATAAATATTAAGTGGGAAAAATGGTGCTATATATATACTACTGATTGTTTGATGATATAAGTAGTTGTGTGCTACTCACATTACTGAACTAGTAGTGCCCGCTTGGTTGCCTGCCAACCAAATCGAAGCAGTCTGGTAGTTTGAGCTGAGAGACAGACCTGGTTACACTGCTGACAGGGTAGGCTTGACTTCAAACGAACGAAACAGCCAGCCAGCCTGTGTGCATCAGTGGCACAGTGGTTAGGACGTTCACCAACCACTATGCACATTTTCCGAGGGTTCGATCCCCGGCCGACGCACACCTGATATATCAATGGTCGGCCTGCTAAATTTGGCCTACCGATATCACATGCTGAAAATTCCATACTTGTATCAAAAATACTGTGTGGAGTCAAGCTAAAATAAAATAAATAATTTGGTTGAAATATTCATTCAGACATCTATAAAACACAAAATAAATGTGAGCAAAGAATATCCTTTTCGATAATTTCCTCTTCTGGATCTACAATTATATACGTATATGTTTATATACATAGAATATTCTAGAATAGTAGTCAATAACAGTAGATTCGTAAAGTAAGATCAACGGGATTACAGTTCATTAAAGATTCTTAAATTATAGCAATAATAATAATGAAGATATAATAGCAGATAGAATATCAACTACAATTAGGGAAATTTCACAAAATTCAGGCCAAAGTAAGGACAATTTCTGAACCAGCTTCTTTTGGATGCATAAAATTAGGCTTGTTAATATGGATCCCAACAGCCTCAGCAATATTTAGTAGTCGAACTCTTAAGGCGAAATTGAGATTCGTAGGTATGCGGTAAATGACCCTGAAAGTATGGTCAACGTCAATCTTTTGTTCTGTATCCACAAGATGAGATAGAATAGCGGCATGCTAATATATTTTGTTTGTGCTTTACTTAACTAACCAGGCAGGGTGATGTTCGGAAATCCGATGAGAAACACGCCTAATTTTACGGCCTATGTAACTGGCTCCACAGGAGCAGTTAAATTGGTAGATACACATGGAAGAGGCGAAATTAGGCAGCTTATCTTTTACTCCCGGGCGCAAAATAGCGTTGGGTGGTTTTGACGACACAGCGTGATTCAGCAGCAGGAAATGCTCTTTTTACCGCATTTCTAAGGCGCTGTGTTAGTATCTCGCTGCTGTTATCGCCGAGGAACTGAATTTGTAAGAATAAGGCCATTTTAGGAACTGTCGGTACCTTGGGCTGCTTTGATTTTAGATTCATATTCGTATCAATAAACTTTTCTGGATAACCATTTTCACTCAGCACATATTTATAGATTTTCACGTACATTATTATAGATCATTATTAGCAGAGAAACAGCGTCTTTTGATTGATTGTTTCTCAATGAAAGTTTATCTTTCATCTCTTTGTGGCTGTTTCATGAAGGTCAGATCATCTATCTGCTAATTGTATCCGCCTACGCAAACTAAGTCTGCTGTGATTGGTTGTTGAGTCAGTTCTCGTTCTTTTCTCATGACCCCAATATTTGGGACATAAACATTGACGTAAATTATTGTCTACCAATTTTGACTAGCAGACAGCTCTCACCACAGTATGAAGCAGGTCGCATATTGTGATGATCGGAATAATTTCGGTTTCCCAAAGAGAAACTGTGTATGATGAAATCCACGCTCTCCGACGTGTGCTAATTCCAAATTAGGAACTTTTGATCTAAAGTTCTTGCATCAGACCAACACAACCGACCAGTCTCTGGTTGGTGAATTTGAAAATTGAGAGATATTGGTGGGGGGGGGGTAGCTTTGACTTAATGGTAGAGCAGATCGTTGAATTTCTCACTGTAGAGAGCTTAACTTAATAGACTCTGAAGTTTTACATTAAACTGAATAGAACTTGTGGCACCTACTTTGATTTAGTTGTGTTCTCTGAGCTGATTGTAGATTTAATCGCGAAGCTTCTATTGTCCTTCTAGACGACATCTTCAGCGCAAGCTTTAGTATAAAGTGAAACTACTTGAATTCTTCGTGAATGATATTTACTTGTATGACCTGACAATCGTTGTTGTGATTGGTTGTTAATTTACGTCTCCGCTGGTAATTTTTATTGACTTGGAATTTGAACTTTCTTGTCATGTGATTAACTTTTTATTAGCTAGTAAATTTGGTCTATAATAATGTATTTTTTGTTAATTGCTAATTCACTTGAGTAACAGGCTTCCAGAAATTCCCTCACTGCGTTTTTGGTGTTTCCTCTATTTAAATTTTTTACATTATCCCAATCAATTTGTTGTCTGTGACTGTCTACATGCATCGATATGAAAGAATACATATCGTGACTTTTCACAGCTGATTTGTGTTCTTGGATTAGAACACGAAGGGGACGCACACATTAACCGACGTAATGTTTATCGCAGTTCGTACAATTTATTTTGTGAATGGTATTGATCTTATCTTCGTATGCTGTTGCATCTTTCGGTTTGCTCAATATCGAATGAAGTGATTGTGTTGGCTGGTGTGCCATATCTTTTTCAAATGGTCTTAGTATTCTAGCTGTTAGTTGTTGCAGAGATATTCTTCATGTATGGTAGAGTGAACTTTCTTGTAGTCTTTGATGACGGTTTCTTGCCAGTATTACGACTTGATGGAATTGTGTGTGTGTTGGTGGTGGGGGGTATTCATTCTTTATGAAGACATTCTCTTCAGCATCGGAATGCTACAATGTGTTTGAAGTCTTCTAATCAATGTGTGCATACAGTTTCTTTTGTGAGTAATTAGGATATTGTTATTATAGTTCAATATGTGTCCCGTGTGCGTGCGATGATTTTCTATATACTTGTATTTCTAAATTTCCAACTACTCTCAACCTCACCTGTCGTATAAAATGACTGCTGTAGGTCATTTCAAAGCTTTGGACAGGGCTTTATAAAAAGCGTAACTTTTAATACATCCATTGAATGAGTACCAGTCAGTGAATTGTGAAAATTGAGCTTGTCGGCTTAAGTGTGTTTGACTAACAACTCATATGTGTATTGATTTCAAAAGCCGCTCAAACAACTACTTCGATGTGGGTGTTTTGAGCCCTCACACATATCGTGATTGCCTAATACGCGTGCATTGAATGGATTGAATTACATTGTGGTGGACTGGATTATGTGTCAGACAGTGGGAAACGAGAAGGCAGGGATATCCTGGACCGACGTGAAGAACCTAGAAGACCAGGATTTCGCAGATGACTTGTGTTTGATGTCACACAAAATCGAAGACTTACAAGCGAAAACCGACAAACTGGTCGAAGAAGCAGCCAGAGAAGACAGGACTCCAGGTGAACATAGACCAGACGGAGGTTATGAAAATAACCAACCAACCAACAACAACAACAACAGCAACATACATCGCCAATCACCATCAGCGAGAGGGATTTGAAAGAGGTTACTTCATTCACTTATCTAGGCAACCAGCATTGTCTCAACCACAGGAGACAGAAACGGACGAGGATGTCAAATCGAGAATCGGGAAGGCGAGAAACACATTCATCAACCTGAAACCAATCTGGAAATCTTCGTCACTCAGCCTGCATCAACAACAAAATTCGGATTTTCAATACAAACGTCAAGTCAGTCAGTTCTTCTATACGGATCAGAAACTTGGCGGGTGACGAAGCATATTTCCTTTATCAACAGCTGTCTTCGTTCTGTAGTGAAGATCAGATGGCCGGAAAGAATCACCAACAAGAAACTATGTGAACAAACAAAACAAGAAACAATCGCCCAACGAATATGTAGGAGAAAGTGGAGATGGATTGGACACTCGCTGAGGAGACCGCTGGGTGACATCGCGCGTCAGGCCATAACTCGAATGGAACCCGACGAGTGGGACGTCCAAGGGTGACATGGAGGAGATCGTGTGAAGAAGAGTTGAAACAGTATGGACTATTATGGATGCAGGTGAAAAGTACAGCAGAAGACAGAAGCAAGTGGTGACGTGTAGTTGAAGCCCTATGTTCCACTAGGAACCCAAGGGAACAATAATAATTATAAAATACATTACTGTTTTTATTATCATTAGAGTCGGTCCTTATTACATAAGTTCGTTTACCATTTAATTATTATTCCCTTGGGTTCCGAGTGAAACGTATAACTTCATCAACATATCTCTACTTTGTGTTTTATTTTTTGCTGTACTCTTTAGCTGGACCCACTATTACTCATAATCTCTCATCTCCTCCTTCCCACACAATCAGCTTTAAGTCACCCTCGCACCAGCACCCTACTTGTCGTCTCTCATTCGAGTTCCAGTCGAGCGATGGCGTGGCTAGCGTGCGTCCGACCCATCCATCTCCATATCTTTCGGGATACTGATTGAGCAATAGCTTTTTGATTAGTTAGTTCTCAGAGTTTCTTGTCGCTAATTCTTTCTTTGTGATCGGCTGACCGTCTGATCATCAGTGTGGAGTCCGCGGAAGAGGCAGCTGTCTACAGTAGCCTGCTGGAAATGCTTTCCAAGATGCACACGTGAAGTTTCTGACCCACATAGAAGAAACGAATGACTTAACTTTTGTTTTGGAAATCGGAATATTGCTTTTTATGCTGACTGAGTGCAGAAGATTTCCATATTGATTGCAGAGTGATAAAGGTGTTTCTCACCTTTCCGATCTTGCCTGGCTTTGACGTCTTCATTTGTTCCACCTTCCTGTAGTTGAAAAGATGCTCCCTAGAGATGTGAGGGAAGTGACTTCTTTCAATTTTTTCCCGTTTATAGTGATTGGTGCTGTTTGTTGTTGATGTTGGTTGGTTATATCTTCACCTCTGTCTTCTCTATGTCCAATTGAAGTTATGTCTTCGCTGCTTCCTCAGACAGTTTGTTGTTTTTCGTCTGTAAGTTTTCGAGTTTGTGTGACATTAGACATAAATCATCTGTGAAATCCAAGTCTTCTAGAGTTTTCTTGTCGGTTGAACGCATTCCTGTCCTCTCACTCCCCACACTGTCTGACGCATAACCCATTCGGTCCACCAAAACTACGAATATCATCGTGGCTGATAATAGGTGGGCAGTCTTTCTTGTCTTACTCCTGTATTCACTTCAAAGGCTTTGCTGAGTTTTCGGTCGTGGATCACCTGACACGTGATATTGTCACACAGCCAGTTGTTGAATGAGGTTGACAAAGACTTTGGGCCACTCCATAGTTTTGAAGTAGATTCCAGATTGCTTCGTGGTCAACGCTATCGAAGACCTTTTCGAAGTCGATGACTGCCATTGTATGCTTTGTTTCGTGATGATGCGTAGAGTTGCAATTTGATCCGTGCATGATTCGCTTTTTTTTCTGAATCTGGCTTGTTCTGGGCGGAGTTCTGCATCTAGAGTATCTTTTATTCGCTCCGTTATTACGCACGACTTAGTATTTTACTTGGCCTGGAGAAGAGCATGATTCCGTGCCAGTTCTTGCAGGAACGCTATGAATACATTGCGCAACCGCCAACCAGTGTCGTAGGGGAGTAAATTTTCTCTTACCTGTTTAGGTGGGTCTCTCCGGAAACGACTTTTCACTAGAAAGCCAGTGGGTGCGTGTGTATTCTTGAAAAGTCCCAAACTAGGGCGAAACAGCTGTCTAGTAATCCCAGGTTTTCCATTGGTTCTCTAGCTGATATCAACCCGTGGTCACACTTGAATCAGATTCCTACAAACTTTGGATATTTACGTGGCTCATTGAAGAAGCGGAAGGTACTCAGGGGATGAATAATAAGCGTATTTACCATATCAGTTGAGATGTTCATTACGTTTGACGTTATTTTTTTTTCCTTCACCTTCCCCAGTGGAACACAGGGCTTCAAGCTAGTGGCTTGAAGTTTCTGTAGCAGTGTTTATTTTACGGGATGGGGTTGCTAGCCTCATGCCCTGGCTCAGCGAGGTAAAGGAGTGCGTCGGCCGGGGATCGGACCCCGGACCACATGGATGGTCGGCGAGCGTCCTAACCGCTATACCACCGACGCCGTTTGATGTTATAATATCCACATATTTATTGACTCGGTCATATCGCCTGTCGTCGGGTTCGTATCAACTTGGTGGTCAGTTCGTGAAACAAAGTCTACCTTGAGAATATTAATATTATTACATATTTGTTATTTTAAAAGTTCTTTTTGTATTTCCCAATGAATGAATGAAAAACAAAATGATAATGTCATTGTTTTTACTGACCTTTCGCTATTTAATTAATGCTGCTAATGCTAATAGCTTTTTCAAAGTGGTATTGTTAAACCAGAAGAATTTACAAAATCTCAGGTCATATATGACAACTTAATCATCATTCATCAGCAGGGGGTAATTTTTATGTTGCTGTTAAGTTGGTCAATCGGTAAAGATAACAAAACTATCATGTGTAGATTGTTGGATTTGACAGGCGTATACAATCAGAAAAGCAGCGTGTGTTTACGTAATGAAATTGCTTATCACATTCGTGTTGATTTTGTCATTTCAAGGGGGAGGGAAGTGTGTGTTGTAACCAGGTCAAATTCTGTTTTAGTCCATCATTCCTATTCAGACAATTTGGATTCCACTTGATATGAAGTGCTTCTGATATTAGATGTCCTTTGTGATTTCTGGAATGCTTTTTCTGGATGAGGATTTGAATGTGGTGAAAATTATTTTTGTGACCTGATTCTATAGCGTGTAGACGACTAATGGCTGATGATTTTGCAGGCTTTTCTAGTTCAACTGGATTTATTTCTCGGTGGTCGAACAGAGGCGGCTCTACAGTGTTCATCATCCTATTCGATCTTGATTCCTCTTTGGTGATGCATGGCCGATGTATATCGCATCACATTCCAATCACTTTATTTCGTAGACACAATTAGATTGAGAACCCTCTGGAATGCAGTGAAATAGACAAGCTATATACTTTAGACCGTAGACGTGTATCTGACTGAACATGTCAGACCATTGTTTATAACTAATAATACTTACAGTACTTTGAACACGTGTTCAGAATATTTTACCAATGCTAGCGCAGTCATTTCATTTATATGCAAACATTTTTACATGTCTCTGATAGAGTGTTGTGCGTCGGTGGCATAGCGGTTAGGACGCTCGCCGACCATGTATATGGTCCGGGGTTCGATCTCTGGACGACGCACTCGTTTACCTCGCTAAGCCAGTACTGAGACTGGTAAAGAGGGAAGGTTGGGCATCAGGTTAGCAACCCTATCCTGTAAAAAATAAACACTGCTACAGAAACTTCAAGCCAGTAGCTTGAAGCCCTATGTTCCACTGGGAACGTAAAGGAATAAAAAAAACCTCTGGAATTAGGTCTTTTACATGGACAAGGTGGCTTTTCACTGTGTCTAGTGTTTTTAGGAAAACTCTGATGTTGTGCTTATTGAGTATTCTTCTGATACTATATGACATTTCTGATTTATGTGGAATGACAACTGTTGAGGTCCATGTCTTCGAAATACGTTTTCGACCATACTTAATGTCAGTGTTGATTTTGTTGATGAAGTTCCTTGGGTAGTTGTTTTGCTTAAGAGTTTCAGTAATGTTTGATATTTCTTCTTCTTTTTCTTTCTCATCCATTGACATCAAAGAGTGTGCTCATCTAAGAAGACTTGAAACAACTGATACCTTTACTCTGATGGGGAGTATGATGATCCAAAGTCTAAATATTAGTTGGAGTGGGTTTTCTTCGTGAATATAGACACATTAAAATATCCGTTTTCCCTCCTCTTAACTAGGCAACCTGGAAAATGTAGTTCACCGACATCTGATTCTGCCTGCTTCCGACGTAAACTGGATGTAGGGAGATAGATTGTTTTAAGTTTCTCCAAGAATGAATTGCGTAGATCTTGTTTTAGCACAACAAAAGTATCATCAACGTGTGATGAGAGCTGGCTGCTAGCAGAAGTTGGTAGATAGTAATTGACGTCAATGTTTATGTCCCCAATATTGGTGGTGAGAAAGTGAGAACAAAGGCTTTGCGTAGGCGGGTGCAGTTAGCATATGGATGATCTGACACAGCCACGAAGAGATGCAAGGTTAACTTTCTGTGAGAAACAACCAATCAAAAGACTATATTTTCTACTAACAATAATCTACAATAATGTACATTAAAATCTATAAATATGTGTTGATTTTCCTTAATGAACGATCTGTTGCCTGACTCTTGCCTTCTGTTGTTACAGACGTATATTTAAAAAGATGTTATCTTCAAATGTATTCTTGTTATCATTAGCAATTAGCCAAGTGGACAGCATAAAAATTAAAAGTCTCCGTATACGTTGATGAACGATTATTAAGGCTGCCATATATATATATATCATGAAATTTTGTGAATTCTAGTTTAACAATACTACTTTGATTTTCAAGAGTAGGTTTGTAAGGATTACATTTGTTTTTTGGAGTTGATCATGGATTGATATCAGTTAGAGAACCATTGAAAACCAGATAGGGAGTACTGGACAGCCAGCTGTTCCATCAGCCTAGTTTGGGAATCATTAGCAATCCACACCCACCGCCAGATGTCGAACCCAGGACGTTCCGGTTTCAAAGCAAGCTCATATACCATTCAGCCATTGAATCGGGTCCCGGTGGCTGAATGGTCTACGAGCTTGCTTTGAAACCGGAACGTCCTGGGTTCGACATTTGGTGGTGGGTGCGTACTGCTGACGATTCCCAAACTAGGCTGATGGAACAGCTGGCTGTCCAGTACTCCCTATCTGGTTTTCAATGGTTCTCTTAGTGATATTAATCCGTGGTCGAACTCGAAAAATACTACTTTGATAAAGCTGTTAGCATTAGTAGCATTAAATAGCGAAACATCAGTAAAAAAAACGATAGTATCGCTTTATTTTTTCATTTATTAGGAAATACAAAAAGAACTTTTATGATAATAATAATAATGAATATCACATATTTTACGAGTTGATCACGGACTGATATCAGTTAGAGAACCATTGAAAACCAGGGAGTACTGGACAGCTGCTGTTTCATCCTAGTTTTGGGAATCATCGGCAGTACGCACCCAATGAGATTCGAACCCAAGACCTTCCGGTTACAAGGCAAGCTCGTATACCATTCAGCCACTGGGACCCGATTCAATGGCTCTTGAATTCTAACTTCTATTAATTTTCAATGGTTCTCTAACTGATATCAGTCCGTGATCAACTCGTAAAACATAACTAATCCTTACAAACCAAACTAAAGAAAATATCACATATACTGAATGCCCAGCTGTTGTTTTTATCTCTCAAACTGTTCAAAAGTGAGCTTGGCTTGGACAACATATAAATAATTACAGTGTTAATTGAAAAAAAACATCCTGTTTCTCTTTACTTCCCCCTTCTGTTATCTCTTCTTCTCCCCCATATTAAAAAAATACATTCTTATCTCAACAGGATTTTCTTCAACCGTGGATCACGCATCATCAGTTTATCTCCTTCTCGTTATACTGTGCTGGAATTGTTGGATTTGTTCTAAGCTTAGTGAAGCGTCATTATATTAAACAGTTCACATTGGTAAGTTAGCTCATAATAATTTTTGTTTACTTTGGCGTTGTTATATCAGTAAAATCAATAAATTATCTTTGATTATGGCATAATGAATGTTTTGCTATTGTTCTTAAATGAGTTTCTCCAACTGGTGAATGTAAGATGATGTTACAGGACTGGACTGGACTACATAGACTCACTCCTGGCTGAGAAATAGGGAGTGAAGTGGTTGGTGGAGTGTGTTGACCACTTCACTTATTTGGGTGGGAAGTTGCATCAACGGGTTGATCACTGATGAAATCTCACCACGGATACAGAAGGCTAGTTTCGCATACGCCAGTTTACGCCGTCTCTGGCTTAGTAGACTTGATTTCCGGCTGGCTGGCTATCGACCAAAGGGCGTGTTTACTGCTCATCAGTCCACTCCATCCTCCTTTATGTCTGTGAGTGAAACATGGCCATTGAGAGTGGAAGCAATGAAAAGGTCGGCTAGCTGTCTTTGATCATAGGTGCTTGCGTTATATCTCCCGTGTGAAGTGGTAAAATAGGGTAAGCGATATTGAGGTTAGACATCAATCGAGTGCCAGCTAGGTAGGTTGGAGGGGAAATCAATCGACGAGGCTGTGAAGTTACATCGATTAAGATGGCTAGGATATGTGTTACGCATGCATTCCTAGCCATCGATCGCCTTCCTCGAGTGACGGGGAATGTTAGCTGACTGACATAGGATTGATCAAGTTGAAAAAGAGCTAGCAAGTGGTAATCAGACCAAAACATGGCTTCATCAGTTAATGAAATCCACAACAGTTAGTTTAAGCTAGTCACGTAGGAAGGTGTAAACACTTCTCTTCGTGAATACATAGTATGTTATTCACCTGCCTTCACTACCTTACTTTGACTGAGCGTTCTAAGGTCACTGGTGTGGCCAACCATCGCTCCTGTCGGGTGTCTAAAGTTTGACTTTGCGCCAAATTACTCCTTCTATTTATACTGTTCCCATGAGTTTGAGGTGGAGTACAGGACTTGATGCTTGCTTGAGCTTTGAAGTTTCGGTGGCAGTGGGGGGGGCGAGGTTACTAGCCTCACGTCCAACGTTCCGTTTTTATCGAGCCTACTACTGCCCTTAAGCAGTGTTTAGAAATTCGTCGGTGGCCCGTGGATTGGATCCCAGCCCACGTGTGACGTGATTTTCGGGTGTTCTACCTCTGAATTATCGACGTTTCAAATGGTCACGAAAAATACCCATTTATTCATAAATAAAAACACAGTTTCTGTTCAGCGAAGAAATTTCTTTTCAACGAATTTCTTCGCTGAACAAAAATACTGTGTTTCAAATGGTGACAAGTTATTTCTGTCGTTTTTATTAAAGTAATCTTGAATTGTGTTTTAAAAAATACTTTTTAAAATCTTTTTTGTTATTCCTTTAGTTTGGCTGGACCCACGTTACATTACTCATCTTTGTGACGTCATCATACTTTTGTATAGAGAATATATTCAATGGAATGATCTGGTAAGTTCTTTTTTTTCTTCGATACATTTCATTTTAATGCATCAGCATTTGCCTTCTCTGCCTCGTCCTCCTCCTCCTCCACATCCCCTACTTCTTCATCTTCCTATTCGACAAGTTGAGCGTATCTCCATGCATGTGTGAGAGATATGGCGAAGGAGACAAAGCTCTTGTATGGAATCGTGAAGTCAAGTCAAGGAAAAGACTGCAAATAGATATATTTCCTACTGGAGTGATTAGTACGACACCGACACCAGCGCCATAGGGTCCCGTGATAAGCTCAGGTGGTACGTAAAACTTTAACTTTCAGATGAAGACATTCGAAGCGCGCTTCATTTGAGATTTTGAATGCGACTTTATGAAAAGCAGTAAACAGTGATAATTGAGGCTTTGTAACGTTTTGGTTAGCATTGCCTGTTGTTCGATTTGGCGGCCTGTTTAAAACTTAAACTACCGAAAAAAACCCTCCATCAATATATACTGCATGATTTTCCTGATTGCAGTAGATTGGATAATGCGACAGACAATGGGCAATGAGGAAACAGGCATAAGATGAACTCACACAGAAAACTTGGAGGATCTGGACTTCCCACAAACTGGAAGATATGCAAATGATGAAAAGCAACAAGTTGGCAGAAGAAGCATCAAAGATAGGACTTCAGGTGAACTTAGAGAAAACAGAGGTAATGAAGATTCCTGGCCAACAGCGACAACAACAACAACAGACAACAATCAGCATAAATGCGAGAAATCTGAAAGAAACAACCTCATTTACTTACCTGGGAAGCATCGTTTCAATTACAGGTAGACGGAACTGACGAGGATATCAAAGCAAGAATCGGGAAAGCAAGACCAGCTTTCACTATTCTCAAGTCTGTGTGGAGGTCAACAACACTCAGCATCAAAAATAAGATCCGGATTTTCAACTCCAATGTGAAGTCAGTCAGTGCTACTATACGGATCAGAGACTTGCACTGCGCATCATAAAGAGCATCTCAAACAAACTACAGACCTTCATCAACAGCTTGCTGTCTTCGTTCAATACTACTCAAGATCAGATGGCTGGCCAGAAAAAATCAGCAACAGAGATCTCTGGTAGCGAACTAACCAGGAACCGATTGTGAAACAAATATGCAGTAAGAAATGGAGATGGATTGGCCATACTCTGAGGAAACAATGCATCAAGTGACATCACTAGACAAGCCATTGCTCGAGTGGAACCCGAAAGGGAAGTGGCGAGTTGGTCGTCAGTGCAAGGGTGACATTGAGGAGGTCATGTGAAGAGGAGATGAAAACGTGTGGGCAGACTTGGAGCCAGGTGAAGACTCTAGCAGAGAACAGAACGCAATGGAGACGCACGACTGAAGCCCTATGTTCCTCTAGGAATTAAAGGAAACAATAATAATAATTATAATAATACAGTATATACTGCATATAATATTTCTGATTCAGTCTGTTTAAATTTAGTAAATTATGACCTCCAATGGTATTATCTCCACTCACGAGTATTATAAATGTTCACAACCTGTGGTTTCGTAAATTTCTACTAAACATTAGAAAAAGCATTATCCTCGATGGATAGCGGCTTATCCTAATACTATATGAGATGACTGTTCCTGAAGGTTGTCCTTGGTTCACCAAAATGTACTCCTGAACTTTTTATAGCTGGCATTGAATAAAATGTCGTCGTGTATTTCTCGAAGGAGAAAAAAGAAGAGATCTCACAATGATCGATTGGTTTCCGCTTCAGGTAAGCAAGAGAAGAAGAAATGCAAAATAGAGACAGTAAACAGGGATATAAGACAAAAGGGATAGTAATAACGAAGAACAATGTAGCTTCATTGGAAATTGTAAGTCACAAGGACTGGATGCATCTTCGCTATCATTGAGAACGATTTTGAGCCAGATATTGGTATTTACCGTGCCGATGACTCCAACCAGGAAGTCTACATCTCCCTAGGTGGTTGGCTGGCTTAAACCAACTGTTATGGATTTCATTGACTGATGAAACCATGTTTTGGTTAGACCACCTTTCACTAGCTCCTTTCCAACCTGACCCTATGTCAGTGGCTAACACTGCCCATTGTCGAGGAAGGCGATTGATGGCTAGGCATACGTAGCACATGTCCTCACCATCTCAATCGATGTAACTTCACAGCCTCGTCGGTTGATTTCCCCTCCCACCTACTTAGCTGGCACTCGACCGATGCCTAACCTCAATATCGCTCACCCTATTATAGTGCTTCACACGAGAGATAGAACGCAGGCAATACAGAACTGTGTCAACCGATCTACTGTCAATCAAATCTGTTTTTATTTGAAGATCCTCGTCGAAGAGGAAATATCATACAATAAACTCTACTGCAAAATTCTATGCATTATATAAACATTGTTCAGAATAAAGCGATTATTATCATTATTATTATTATCACTGTATGAGCATTATTGGTGGTACGCTTGAACGCGAAACGTGGCTTCAGGATATCCGTGTTAGATATGACCCAAGTGATCTAGCAGGGATACCATCACTTATTGGGGATTGCAGGTTCATCTTGCATTCCATTGCTAGTCACCACCCACCCTGCCAAATTACTCTGAGTATGAATATGTGATAAAAATAGATTATCCATAGACGCCACTGTCTGGTTAGTTACTCTGCTACAGTTTTAGAAATCGCTGTAATCTAATTATATAAAAACCGTATCTTCCTATTGGTTTCGTCGACCGGCTATAGATTGTGAATTCTGCTTCATTCACGGACGTTTCACTGTTAAGCTGGACAGTCTTATCAGTGCGACAATTACACACACTTATGCTCATATTCGTAATTTTTAATGTCTTATTCCCTTACAGGTTCCTTTTGCCCGTCTGTTTAGTGATATGCAATGATATAATGGCCTATGTGTTTGGCTTTTTCTACGGGAAGACTCCATTGATTAAGCTGTCACCAAAAAAGACCTGGGAAGGTTTTATCGGTGGTGGCCTGTCGACAATTGTCTTCAGTTTGATCTTTTCATACATCCTGTTGAAATTTGATTATTTCGTTTGTCCAATTGAATGGGATGATGCTAAGGGATCGTTGACAATGAATTGTACAAGGAATCCTGTGTTTGTAGCACAGACGTATAATTTACCAAAATATCTAGTAAGTATGATTTTCTTTATTTGATATATATATACCTATTAATAATGGAGAAGCTTTCTAGCTCACGTAGGTCGTATTGGTGGTGCAGTTGTGTTCTGTGAGCACCCGACCGATAACTGCTACCTTGCCGTGGTGGTCGGGCTTGAATGCCGCAGTGACCCAATAAGCTAAACTGGCTGGGACTCATGTCCCTGCAGGTCCTACCATGTCAGGAAGGTTGTTTGGATAGCGGTTAGACTAAAAGCAGTTACCATGGGGTACATGGGCTCCAGAATTCAATCGGATCAAATGGCGTATGAACCCATATGGGTCACCGACAACCATGGGAACGCAGCTCATGACGCTGCCCTGCTGCCTTGCGGATTGGACTCCAAGTCAAAGGCTCGGGGGGTGGTCCCTTAAGAAAACCACCTACTTCGGTCTGGGCGCCCGGACAGTATCTCAGCCCTCACACAATATTGTGTGGCGCATCTTTCTTGGTGCCATATTGTACCAAGTTTTTCTGCGTTTAAATAAATAAATAAATAAAAATCTGTGAGCAAGATGGTTCGCTTGCGGAACTGTCATTCTCTTTCTAGGCCAACGTCTTCAGTGCTGACTTTAATATGAAATGAACTTTTACGATTCTTTATGAGTTTATCAGTGCGTCGGGGGTTTGGCGGTATGTAGATTGCCGACCAGTCATTTATGCGGTTCGGGGTTCGATTCCCGGTCGACGCGCGCCGATGACAAGTTCGAGGAAGAAGGATGATTGAGTGTGAAGCTAGTAACCCTGCCCTTACGCTCTCTCTGGCGTAGATGTGATATCCGTCTGACTATCGACCAAAGGACGTGTGTTCGTACTCAGTAGTCTGACCAGTGCCGCTTTATGGTTGTGAATGAGTCGTGGTCATTGAAAGTGGGAGAAATGAAAAGAATGGATGGCTGTCTCTGATCATAGGTGTCTGTACTTTGTCTCTCATGTTAGGTAGTGCTACAATAGGGTAAATAATATTCAGATTAGGTGTCCAGCGTTAATGAGGTAAGCAGGGAAAATCAATCAATGAGTTTGTGAATTCACATCAATTGACATGTTAGGACATAAGTGACGCATTCCTATCCTAGTCATCAGTCATCTTCCACGACGGGTGGGCATTGTTAGCTGACTGACATAGGATGAATCTAGTTGGAAAAGAACTAGCAAGTGGTGTTTGTCAAACTGAAACATGGTTTCATCAGTCAATCAAATGCATAACAGTTATTTCAAGTCAGTCAGACGGACAGCCATCCACCCAGACTGGTTGGGGTACTCGGGATGATGGTGAGAACCAATGACGCTGGAGACAATTGGTGATATGGTTGAAAATTGTCGTTGTCAATGTCTGGCGTAGATGCATTCACTCTCTGTGATTTGCCAGTCATATCCAATCAAAGTACTGCACTGTTCTTCCAACATATTACTATTCTTTTTTCCTCACTCACACTTCTGTTTATTATGTATCTCCCTTTTACATCTCTCTTCTCTTTCTTCGTGTGTTACAAGGCGGGAGAGTGGCAACTAGAGCTGCTGCACGTCTGTGCAAAGTTCTCTGGAACCATTCAGTCAGGCACCTGACATATATGCAATGTTAATTATACAACTCCAGTACCAGAAATATTAAAAATTATTATTTGACGACCTGAAATAACCTGGAATAATAAGTACATATAAAATATTTTGAAATTTATGTGTAAGCACTTTCACCATATAATTATAAGCAATTAAGTGTGATCGAAACGTGATCATCAGTAAATGAATAACGCTATATTCCTTACTACAATGTAGTGTGTGACATTAAATAAAATCATTTTATTATGGAATCATATATTCTATTCTATCACAGTGCGCAAAGTACATCTGTGGCTTAGTGGCAAAATGCTCTTCAGCCACGCATGTGATTCGGGGTTCGATCCCCAGCCGTCAACGCACTCCTTTACTCCGCTTAGCCTAGTAATCAGACTAGTAAAGATAGAAGGCTGGGCGACTTCATCCCATGAAAATAAACATCACTGCTACAGAAACTTCAGGTCTCTAGCTTGAAGCCCTATGTTCCATTGGGAACGTAAAAGAACAAGAAAAGTGCCCAACTGAAGTTTCAATGGGAAACTTTGCACAAAATTGGAACAGTTGAAGTTATCTGACGAGCTGACTGATTTCAAGATAGAACTTTGCAACCATTCGGGTTGTCACTCTCACCTTACCGATGGCTACTACCTTGATGTGGTGGTGGTGGTGGTCGGGCTTGCATATCGGAATGACCCAACAAGTTATACTTGCTGGAACTAATGTTCCTGCCGGTCCTACTGTGCCAGGAAGGTTAGTTAGGATAGCGATTAGACTAAAAGTAGTTACCACAGGTATAGTGTAAGCTATTTTTTACACTATGCTTGGGGTTCGGTGGGCGAAGTCGTATTTCTGAGGAACAGGGATTTAACACCAGTAAGTTGGTGAAGGCGTCGGTGGCATAGCGGTTAGGACGCTCGCCAACCATGCACATGGTCCGGGGTTCGATCTCCGGCCACCGACGCACTCCTTTACCTCGCTAAGCCAGAAATAAAGCTGGTAAAGGGGGAAGGTTGGGCATGATGCTAGCAACCCCATCCTGTAAAATAAACACTGCTACAGAAACTTCAAGCCACTAGCTTGAAGCCCTATGTTCCACTGTGGAACGTGAAGGAAAAAAAAGGTGGTGAAGACCAGCATGTTAGCTATGCTGTCTCTCGACTCTGGAAACGTGGAGGAAAGGGTAGAAAAGATGGTCCCAGAGAATGGTACATCTCGGCTTACCCTAAAGCGGTCCGTAGTCGACGGTAAGTTACTAATAAGGAATCAAACTTAAAAGCAAGTTCAAGTTACCGCACACCATACAACACACAAAGGTAGAGGAAAATAAAAAAAACATTCAAAGAATAACTACATGGAGAATAATGAGCTCTTCATGGGAGTAGGATTATCCAGAGAGTGAATACACTTCTACCATCTTAAGCCACATTACCAACAGTCTCAAGTTGTTGGTTCCTAGTATCACCACGGCCACACTCAGGTAGTCTACGCATCACTATGAGGCTAAAACCAAAAGTCGAAGACTTCATAGATTGACGCGATGTTTTGATTTGATCACCCCCTTAACTCTTCCAATCTAATCACACATTAACCAACATTATTCAACGAGAAAAGAGATGGTTTGACATGTGTAACATGTGTCCTTGCTATCTCAATTGATGCATCTTCACAACCTCATCGACTGATTTCTCCTCCTTACGTAAACACTCAACCCTTAACCTCAATAGAGTGAATACTCTTATATATATTCACTTCACGTTACATTAACAACCAAATTACAATAGCATACATAACATTTTCACTTATGTGATGCTTAAGCCTTAAAATCTAAGAGTCAACCTAAATCCTTCTTACTGAGTAGTCGGGCACTCGAATGGAATGTTTCCAATGAAGTTCCTAAGAAGCCTGTTGAACAGCTTGTTAACCCAGATAGATGAAGCATGATCCACTGTTCATTGTATCAGGTTGCAATGAAGATTTTCATAGGCACAAACCATAACATTGACTCCAGTGGCTTTTCTACTTACGTCTAAATTATTCATACCTCAGGAAAGTTACTCTACATACTACTTATATTGACATATTAGTGGGACACGAAAACATAAGACTAAACTGTTTGTTTGGATGGAGGATTTTATCATGAGTCGGCATCAGTTAGAGAATCACTGGAAAACCTGGGAGTACTGGTTAACTGTTTCGTCCTAATTCGGGACTCTTCATCAGTACGCACCCACGCCACCGAGTTCGAGCCCAAGACCTTCTGGTTACAAGGCAAGCTGACTCGTAGACCATTAAGCCACTGGGACCCGATCCAATGGCCAACCCATGAATTCTAACTTCTGCTAATTCACGACATAACGCGACCGCTTCGCAATGTCTTCTGTTTCGATGAGTTACTGCCTCATCTTCAACCTGCTGTACCCTCACTAGCGACCGGCCCAATTCAGGCAGTGACCTGAGGTTCTAGTGGGAAGCCGTGACCTTACGACGCCTACCACACAAAGAAAGAGAAGAGAGACAGATAATAAACAGAAGTGTGAGTCAGGAAAAAGAATAGTAACATTGTGGAAGAACAATAAAGTACTTTGATTGGATATGACTGGCAAATCACAAAGAGTGAATGCACCTGCACCAGACATTGACAACGACGATTTCCAGCCATATCACCAATTGTCTCCAGCCCTCAGTGGTTCTCACCATCATCCGGTCTACCCCAACTAGTCAGTCAGTCAGTGAGGAAGTCTACACCTCCCTACGTGGGTGGATGGCTGTCCGTCTGGTTGACTTGAACTAACTGTTATGCATTTGATTGACTGATGAAACCATATTTTGGTTTGACAACCACCACTTGCTAGTTCTTTTTCAACCTGATCCATCCTATGTCAGTCAGCTAACAATGCCCACCCGTCGTGGAAGATGACTGATGACTAGGATAGGAATGCGTCACTTATGTCCTAACATGTCAATTGATGTGAATTCACAACCTCATCCATTGATCTTCCTCTTTACCTCATTAACGCTGGACGCCCTTAATCTGAATATTACTCACTCTATTGTAGCACCACCTAACGCAGGAGAAAGATTCAGTGACCAACCTATTTCTTCACCTGTCCTTTGATGCTTTTATAACTGGAGCTCTGTTGTTCCTCACCCTGTTGTGTTATTGTTCAGTTTCTGCATCCGCTGAAATTAGCTGAGTCGTGTGTTTTTCTAAGTTGATAATTATTTCGGAGGATCAATCATTGTTCACTTAGCTCAATTGCCATATATTCATACAACTTTTTTTTGACCTAAATCTACTGAAGTATTGACCTATGTTGGAATTGACCTCACGGTCACTTTGAGATATTTTTGTAGATAAAGTTTTTTTTATTTGATTATCGGGTCAATCGGTTGAGTTGGTATTCTGTAAAGTTTGTCCTTGTGTAGTGTGTGTGGATTTACAGTTTTCAAGGGGCTTGTATTACTGATGACCACGCGTCAACCTAATTGTAATTCAAATGTCACACGTTGGTTTCTCGTGGTTTTAAAAAAGTGTTTTACAATGCTTTAAGGTTACTTGTTGTCTCTGTTGTATTACTTAGTTGTTTTAACATTTGAAGATGGCCTGAGATGTTGTCAATTTGACGAGTTTCCCACAGCAGTGCTGCTACGTATGTTAATTATGATGATATAAAATGTTATCACATATGAATACATCATAATTGAGGGAATACGTCTCACTTACTTTAGAATTTAAGTTTTTGCTAATGTCACTTTGAAATAATAAAGAAGATTTATAGCTCAGATGGATGATTTGCAATAAGTAGTGTTCTCTCAGTTGGTTGGTATAGTTGCAGAGCTTTCGTCGTCCCCTGTATGGACAACATCCCCTTTCAGCGCAATTTTTAGCATAAACTGAACTGATTTAAATTTTCCATGAGTGATAGAATTGCTTTTCCAGGTGACCATCTTTACATCTGTATTGATCATTTTTTATTGACTTCAATTTGAAACCGTCTCGTCACCTGATTTACTTTTTATCAGTTGGTAGATTTGGTCTATATCAACATGTTTGTTTGTCGCATATTTCTTTTGAGTACCAGGCTTCGAGGAATTCGCTGGCATTTGCTTTCGGTGTTTCCTCTGTCTAAAATTTGGATATTATCCCAATCAAACTGATGTCCATAATTATCCAAATGCATTGATATGAAACGGGAATATATATAATGTCTTTTCACAACTGATTTGTGTTCCTGGATTCAGAGAACACTACTAATTGCTAATGTCACTTTGCTGATGATGTGCAATAAGTTTGACTTATGCTTTAATTTCTTCGGATTAAGGTACCTGAAGTAAAAAGAACATTAGTGTTGCCTGTTCGCTGAGCCTATAGGACAACTGATTGAGATCGATCACACGTAACCCGTTTGAATTGGTTTCTGGAGTTATGTTTATATTAAGATCTTACCGCTGGCGGCCGTGAACTGCCATATGGTTAGCTTGGATGTTTTATTTTCTGAGTTGACCCTTTCTTATCCTTCGTTCCCGTCGTGGAAAGTCGACACAATTGTATTGCTGGTCATATGAAAGAAAAACCATGCTGCTGTGACATCACTTTTCCCCAGCGTCATGGTTTGGCAAAAGAACCTCTTCCCCGAAACATGGAGTGGTCAGTTTATACTATGATGGTAACTACACCTAGTCTGATCGTTATCTAACAACCTTTCTAGCATGGTAGCAACTGCAGAAATATTCATTCCAGCCAATGTAGGTGATTGGGAAATGTGCAAGTTCGACTCCCATCACGTCAAGGTAGCAGCTATCAGTTGTGTTAGACCATAAGGTGACGTCTGTCCATGGTTTGAGTGAGCCACGTGTGGTGGTATAAGTTGCCCATTTGATGTCGTTGGAATACTAAAAATCAGTGAGTGGAGACTATGCGGACTCGGTACCCATCTTTTCACACATCAAAGCGCTATCATGGCCCAAATGTTATAAGGCATAACGCTTTAGAGTTGGAAACGATGAGTACTTGGTTTATAACTCACTAGAATGCAGGTACATTTGGCTGATGAGTCCCAAATAGGACGAAATGCTCATCCTGCATTCTACTGCTGCTAGTCACCATCCATCAAATAACCTTTAACTGAATATATTGGTAAAATTCATTATGTAAAAAAATATCGATTAAACATTAAAAGTTATGTGTTCATTTCTTGTTTTCTTTCACCCTCCCCGCCCGCCGCCTCGCCCCCACTCGCCCTACATAGTTCTTTCTACCAATTCGTCAAATCATTTGGTATCCATTTTTACAGCATTGTTTAATTATAAGCATATATACATCAGTAGTCGGGCCATTCGGTGGATTTTTCGCTAGTGGTTTTAAACGTGCATTTAAAATTAAAGATTTTGGTGATTTATTCCCTGGACACGGTGGTGTAGTCGATCGTTTCGATTGTCAAGTATTAATTGGAACATTCGTATTATTCTATTATAATTCATTTGTTCGGTAAGTCCTAGCTAGTTGTGTTATTTGGTTGGTGTGTTGTGGTTCTGCCTTTTTTCTTTTTCTCTCGTTTATGTGCAACAGTTGTCATCTGAAATGATTAACGATCAGTAGTGTCGGTGAACGATACTCTCTGTCGCCACTTACGTATAATTTCACCATAGATATACACTGATGGAGTTGACTTTAGCGAATTAAGGACTTTTATTTATTTATTTTTTACAAGTTGATCACGGATTGATTTCATGTAGAGAACCATTGAGAACACTCCACGGAGTACTGGACAGCTGTTTCATCCCAGTCTTTTGGGAATCATCGGCAGTACGCAACCACACACCGGGGCTCCAACCCAGGATCTTCCGGTTACAAGGCAAGCCCTTAGACCATTCAGCCACTGGGACGCAATTCAATGGCCAGTCCATGAATTCTAACTTCTACTAATTCGTGATTAAGCGCGACAAGCACCAACCAATGTCGTCGGTGGGATATCTATCCTCACGTGTGACATCTAGATGGGCCTCAGTGGTCACGACTTCTCACTAGAACTCCAGAAAACTCCATCCTTTAGCAAGTCACTAGCGAGCATCAGATTAATTTTCCTTAGTTTGGTTTGTAAGGGTTAGTTTTGTTTTTTGTTGGTTTTTCATTTGGTGTGTCTCAGTAGCGTATTTATCACTTCTGCCCTGTGACACGGCAGCAGAAAGCGCGGTCGTTGTTAATCCGGACCCCGACCGATCCGGCATGATATTCTGTGATTTATTTGAAGTCATAGTATTGGATTGGGTAACTGCTTTTAGTCTAACCGCTATCCAAACAACCTTTCTGGCATGGTAAGACCTGCAGGAACATAAGTTCCAGCCAGTATAGCTTGTTGGGTCATTGCAGTGTTCAACCCCGACCACCACGTCAAGGTAGCAGCTTTCGGTAGCAGCTTTCTCTCTCGCGTTAGGTGGTATAATAAGGTAAGTAATGTTGACGTTAGGCGTAGAGTGTTGGGCAAAGAGAGAAAATCACTCGAAGAGGCTATGAAGTTACATAGATTGAGATGGTTAGGTCACGTGCTGCGAATGCCTAACCATCGTCTCCCCCGACGGGCATTACTAGCTGATATAGGTGCAGGTTGGAAAAGAGTAAGTGGTGGCCAAACAAAAACATTGCATCAATCCATGAAATCCTTGACAGTTAAACTGAGTCAGGTAGGGAGATGCAGACTTCCGGGTTGGGGGCCGCCATCGGGACTCTAAGAATCAGTGGGTGGAGACAATAGGTGACATGGCTCAAAATCGTTGTCAATGGCTTACGGAGATGTATTCAGTCTCTGTAATCTTTCATATTCCTTTCTACCATTACTCATTCTGTTTCACTCTTATACTTGTCAAAACTCTATTGATTCTCTTCATCACTCATCTTCTTGTCTACCTTTGTGTGGTATTTGGAACATGGTAACTCGAACTGCTGCACTTCGGTGCCAAGTTCTATGTTGAATCCAGCAGCAGCAGCAGTTTTGTTTTTTACCAGTTGATCACGGATTGATATCAGTTAGAGAACCATTGAAAACCACCCATAGGGAGTACTGGACGGCTGTTTCATCCTAGTTTGGGAATTATCGGCAGTACGCACCCTTTTTTATTTGGAACGTTTAGGTAGCTTAAAAATTCCCATTGAGTCGTATGAAAAAGAGAAGACGTTCAGCGAAGAGACTCTTTTCGACGGCGAATTCATTCACAATCGCATTTACATATAACTACTTTGTGTATATATATATATATATAGATGAGGTTTGTCAAGTTTAGATAATTAATTAGGTAATACAAGAATGATCTAATATAGAAACAAGGTTAATTAGACAGCAACTTTCCCACCTATTTACTATAAATACACGAATGTACAGCCATCATCTAGTTGATAACTTCATCAAGAAGAAAATTTTCTTCACTGCAACCGTCTTTCTATTATTCCATATAGAGACGTGTAGACTGTCTGATTAGAGTCCTGAGATGACAAGAATCAATGATTGGGGAGGGAGAGAGAGAGACGTTGTTGATATGGCTGAGATGCATTCAACCTGTGTAACTTTCCATATCCTTTTAACCCTCATATATTTCCATGATGATATTCTTTCTCCAGGACATTACTGCTGCTCATTGTAGTTCATTTGAACTTTTTTCTTTTTTCTCCTTTTCTCTACTTTTGTGTGATATATGGAGTACTTACTTTACTTTACTTCGGCTATCTCCTACGGGAGGATGAGCCGGCTTCATGAACATCTCAAATCATCGCTACCCAGGCATGGTGAGAGTCGTTTGTAAGAGAGTTCATGAAGTTTCATGGGAATTTGGTACGAGTGATGTCCCCAGAATCGCTCGGCCTTTTGTTTGAGAGTGCAGCTCTAGCCTTTACACAACCAAGTGTGACCTACAAGGCAGTAGGAGTGGAGTAGGAAGTCCACTATCCATTGGCAGCCGGTGACCGGAGTTCGGTTCATACGCCTTTTTGAATGGGGCCAGACATCCAGGACATCCAACAAGCCCTTTGTCCATACGTCTGCCGGTGAGCTCCAGTGAGCTTCATACGTCAGTCGTTGAAGGTTTGGAATCAGGGTTTAGCCGTCTCCCCTAGACTGTCATCCAATGGACAGTCAACCCGGTGAATAGCGCTGGGCATCCGCTTTCGCCCTCTCACTTTGGTGAAAAACACCTCAGCCATGTGAAGGCAGTGAGTAGGACTTCCTCAGGAGAGGCTATGTAAGACGCCCGGTCATATGGGAGCATTTCAAGAGGTGTGCGGAGGGGTGGCCAACCCGCAGCGCAATGCACCCAACCCCGACCATCCTGAGGCTTTGGAGGCAGTGTTGTGGCAACTGCAATCCATCCGGTGACATTTTCGCGTAAAGTTGAAATTCGTAAGCCAATAAACCATATTTCCACTGGAAGAGAACAGTTCCTATTATACGCATACATATACATATATAACCTTGTGAATTGGTAGCGTCATTTCGATTATTCCCCAGCACAAATAGTATGCTATAAAATATGATTAGACATAATATTAAGGCCTAGTCTAGATGACTGTTAGGTAAAGAGAAAAAGTCTAATCGATAAACTGGCGAAGTATTATTGATTGAGATGGACTAGACACATGTGTTACGCGCATGCCTAGGCATCACCTTCCCCCGATGGGTAATGTTAACTACCGCATAGGATTTTCGATTGGGAAAGAATTAGATTTCGTCAAATCAAAACATCAAACATCAGCTATACATGAAGACGTCGCCAACTCTTGATTTGTGAATGAGTCATGTAGGAAGATGTGGACTGTCGTCTGGCTTACTGGAGTTGTTCAGATGGTATGGTTGAGAATTATTCACTTTTTTGTGATCTCTCAGATCCGTCAAATCCTCGTTTCGCTCTGTCTTCCTCCCTCCTCACATGTGCATTTCTGATTTCCTACCTTTGTGTGTAACTTCTGGTGACTGATCTGACTGAAGTTTAACTTAGAACCTTGTACAGAAGTGGACCACTTCAAATTGCCACACTCCGTGTACCACACAAAGGAAAATAAAAGAGGGAAAAAGACTCAAAAATAAAACGATAATAATCAGAAATGTGAGGGGGAAGGAATAGTAACATGGAAACACAATGAGGTTTTATGTTGTCTGTCTGTCTGTTTTTGGAAGTGTGTGGGCGGTTGTTACCTCCCAACTGCCCACACCGTGGAGGTTGATTGATTCTTCGGATACCTGAAACAGAAAGAGAGTTAGCGTTGTGTGACCGCAGAGCCCAGGAGACAACTGCTTGAGGCCAGCCAGTCACACACGGCCTGTATGAACTGGTTTTTGGGATTGGTTCCGTATTAGTAAACTTACCACCGGTTACAGGCCACCGTTGGGTAAGTCGGGATGTGCAGTTTTTGGGGTCGACCTTTTCTAACCCCGTCTCTCCGGACTGGAGAGACAGCATAGCTGACATGCTGGTCATCCGAGGGAAACACCTCACGGCTGTTACACCCCTGTTCCCCAGCATAGTGTAAGAAAGATTCTTACACAATGCCGGTAACTGCTTTTAGTCTAATCGCTATTCTAACGGCCTTCCTGGCATGGTAGGACCTGCAGGAACATTGGTTCCAGCCAATGTAGCTTGTTGGGTCAACGCGATGTGCAAGCCCGACCACCACGTCAAGGGTAGCACCTATCGGTCAGGGGGGGGTATGTTAGATACTTTAAATCACAAAGAGTGAATCCGTCTTCTCCATTGAGAACAATTTTGAGCCATGTTACCAATTGTCTCCAGCCCTCATTGTTGGTTTACAGAATTCTGATTACTCCAACCAGTCAGTCAGTCAGTCAAGTAGTCTAAACTTCCTAATGTGTTTGGTTCAAGCTGACTGTCAAAAATTTCATGGAGTGTTAGGAAGTTTTGCTTTGATCAGCACTAGTTCTTTTTCCAACGCAAGCTAATATTGACCTTCGAGGAAGATGATGGCTAGGCAGAAATCTGCAACACGTTGTGTCCAAGCCATTGTAATTAATGTAGATTCACAACCACATCGATTGACTTCACTTCCTTACCTACCACTCACTCAACATCCTAACCTCAATATTACCCACTATAGTATAGTATACTACTTAACAAGTGAGATAGATCACAAACATGTGTGGTCAAAGACAACTAACTGGCGGCCATGTCTTACTCACAGCGATAAAGGAAGACCGCAAAGAGTGCTACCGGATATGATGTTTACACCAGAGATGACTTAGCTTGGCAAATACCATACTTGCCTTGAATCGTTTTTTTTTGTGAAATGGCATCCCTTAAACTATTACAGTGTGGTTGTGCAAAGTTTTTTACAGTGAAAATGTAATTCAGTTCGTGTAACTTGTTTTCGGTTGTTTTTTGTGTGTGTTTTTTGACCTTATGAATTCGTTACATTATTTATTTATTTATTTAGCGGAAATAGAGATAGTGTGTATTGTACATGTTAGTTCACCTTATACTTAGCAGTTG